AATGCTTAGCATAGTCCTGGGCACGTTCAAGGTGCTCAATAAATGTTTCCATTGAAGCACTACAAAAATAAATGCTAAAAGATATGAATATGTTTTGGATTTTGTTAAAGTGTTTGATTTTTTTCAGTTTTGAATTATATAGTTATGTGCCTATATTTAGGACAAGATTTTTTTGTTTTGTTTTTGGTGAGGCGGATTGTCCCTGAGCTAACATATCTGTGCCAGTCTTTCTCTATTTTGTATGTCGGATGCTGCAAGAGCATGGCTTGATGAGCGATGTGTATCCATGCCCAGGATCCAAACCAGCGAACCCCAGGCCACCGGAGCAGGATGCGTGAACTTAACCACTATGCCACCAGACTGGCCCCAGGACAAGATTTTTTGTTATAAGATTCTTGAAGTCTGAAGTTGTAATCCCTGTAATCTTACCATAATCCCCAATAAGAGGTCCAAATTTACAGGGCTATCGGAAATATGTGAAAAGTTAGGAAATACAAAAATTACTATCTTCCTAAGAATTGCTGTTCACTTAACAATGTATTTGGTTGTACAGAGGTATCTTTAAAAGGTTCCTGTTACCTCTTCTAAAAACCTGGAAGATGTATTGTAGATTTAAAAAATACATTATATATTTTCTGGACTTTAATTCGTGCTTTCCATTTCTCTTGAGCAGTAATAACAGAGTCTTTGCATAAAGACCATAGTGTATGTTATTGGCCACATGCCTAAGGATAGAGTTATTGCATGTTATATATGTGTATTCCAGGGATGTCACTCGTTTTAAGCCTGAGAGACTCAGAACTGTGCCATTTGTTTGGATGGGGATGGCAAATGTGCAGGAGAGGGAGAAGGGTGTCTACAAGTAGCCAAGGGAGAACAACTAAGTACTCCTGAGAAACACTCAGATAATTTTCTAATTGACATTAGAATCTATTTTTCAATACAGTAAATCATGTTTATTTGAATACTTTTAAATTTTCAAAGTTCTTTCATAATATATTGTCCAATTTTTCTCCCTAATTCTTTTTTATTTATAAAAATTGTTTTCATATCACATATTTATACATGTGCAGATTTTCCTAAATTCCCACCAAACCAAAGTGACTTTCTAAGTAGAGAAGACATTATTGTCCTTATAGCCAAGCACAATTCAGCCAGTCATCGCTAGAGTGGTCACTAGAAGCCAAAGTGTTTCATGAAGTTAGATAACTTTGATTAATCACTGTGCTGCCTGCTATTGTTGTGACCTTAGACAAGTTATTTCACCTTTCTAAAACTCAGCTTTCTCATCTGCAAAATGGATATAATAATTATCTGCCCCACAGATTGTAATGATTAAATGCAATAACATGTATAAATATCTGAAATGTTTGGTACAGTAAATATTAGCTCTCTTCTTTCCTTGTCTCTTCTTCTTTCCCTTCTAGACTGGAGTGCTTTCCATTTTAAATTGTTAATGCTTATCATAATGGTAACTACAACAAGGTATGAAATGATGCTTCCATACTATAACATTCTATATGACTTTTAAAAAATATTGTGGTAAGAACACTTAACACGATATCTACCCTGTTAACAAATTTCTGACTGTTCAATAGACTGTGGTTGCCTATAGGTACAACTTTGTAGAGCAGATCTCTAGAGCTTATTCATCTTGCTTGACTGAAACTTTATGCTTGTTGATTAGTAACTTCCCATTTCCTCCTTCCCCCAGCCCCTTCAACCATCATTCCACTCTGATTCTATGAATTTGACTATTTTAGATACCTCGTATAAGTGGAATCATGCAGTATTTGTCTTTCTTTGACTACCTTATTTCATTTAGCATAATGCTTCAAAGTTCATCCATGTTGTCACCTATTGAAGAATTTCATTCTTTCTTTAAGGCTGAATATTATTCTACTGTGTGTATTTACTACATTTTCTTTATCCATTCATCTGTCAGTGGACATTTAGGTTGTTTCTACTTCTTGGCTATTGTGACTAGTACTGCATCAACATAGGAGTCTCTATCTTTGAGATCCTGATTTCAGTTCTTTTGATAAATACCCAGAAGTGGGATTGCTGGATCATATGGTAGTTCTATTTTTAATTTTTTGAGGCACTGCCATATTGTTTTTCCATAGTGGCAGCACCATTTTGCATTCCCACCAACAGTGCGTGAGGGTTCCAATTTCTCCACTTCCTCATCAACACTTCTTGTCTTTTGTTCTTTTGGTAATAGCCATCTTGACCAGTATGATGGGATATCTCATTGTGGTTTTGATTTGCATTTCCCTGATGATTAGGGTGTTGAGCGTTTTTTCAACCTGTTGGCCATCTGTATATCTTCTTTGGAGATATGTCTAAGTCTCTAGCCAATGTTTTAATCCAGTTATTAGGATTTTTTACTATTGAGTTGTTACTATTTTGGAGCTTAACCCCTTATCAGATATATGGTTTGCAGATATTTTCTCCCATTCTGTAGGTTGTCTTTTCACTTTGTTGATTGTTTCCTTTGCTGTGCAGAAGCTTTTTAGTTTGATGTAGACCCACTTGTTTACTTTTGTTTTTTTGCCTGTGCTTTTGATGACATATCCATGAAATCATTGCCAAAACCAATGTTATGAAGCTTTTCGCCTATGTTTTCTTCTAGGAGTTTTGGGTCTTATGTTCAAGCCTTCAATCCATTTTGAGTTGATTTTTGTGTATGTTGTAAGATAAGGGTCCAATCTGATTCTTTTGCACGTGGAATCCAGTTTTCCCAAGAACATTTGTTAAAGAGACAATCCTTTCTCCATTGTGTATTCTTGGCACCTTGTTGAAGATCAGTTAGTACCATTTATGTGTGGATTTATTTTTGACCTCTCTATTCTGTTCCATTAGTCTGTATGTCTATCTTATGCCAGTACCATATATATATATATATATTTTTTTTTTTTTGAGGAAGATTGGCCCTGAGCTAACATCTGTTGCCAATCTTCCTTTTTTTGTCCCTCCCCAAAGCCAAAGTACATAGTTGTCTACCCTAGTTGTGAGTCCTTCTAGTTCCTCTATGTGGGATGCCACCACAGCATGGCTTGATGAGTGGTGCTGTGTCCCTGCCCAGGATCTGAACCAGCAAACCTCGTGCCATGGAAGTGGAGCTCACAAACTTAACCACTACGCCCGCCCCAGGGCCGGCTCTGGTACTGTGTTGTTTGTTTGCCATAGCTTTGTAATATGCTTTGAAATCAGGAAGTGTGATGCCTCCCTCCAGCTTTGTTCTTTCTTCTCAAAGTTGATTTGGCTATTTATGGTGTTTTGTAGTTCCATATGAATTTTAGAGTTGTTTTTTCTATTTCTGTGAAAAATGCCATTGGGATTTTGAAAGGGATTACATTGAATCTGTAGGTCACTTTGGGTATTATGGAAATTTTACCAATATTAATTCTTCAAATCCATGAACACATGATGTCTTTCCATTCGTTGGTGTTTTAATTTCTTTCATCACTGTTTTGTAGTTTTCAATATAAAATTCTTTTACCTCCTTAGTTAAGTTTATTCCTAGATATTTTAATCTTTTTGGTGCTATTGTAAATGCGATTGTTTTCCTAATTTCCTTTTCAGATAGTTTGTTGTTAGTTATCTGTATGGCTTTACAGATTGTTTTTGTTAATTAGTTGGAATCACACTAGATTATAAAGAGATTAATAAGGATTTTATTGAGAAAATAAAATAGTGTAATTTTTAAAAATTGTAAACTTTAAGGCAATTATAATTATTATTTTGTTGAATTTCACTGGAAAAATTAAAAATTAATTGGTCTAATTGTCCCTGAATTAAGAAGAATTTCTGAAATCTATTAAGACAAAGGAAACTACCTTATGTTTAGAATAGGCTCAATTTTTGGGTGAGGGCTGGTGTTGAATTCTATGAGTACTTCAGTATTAACAAGGTACTTTGGCATCTTTGATGTAATACTGAAAATATGTAAAATATTGGAATTTTTACCCTGGGTTTAGTTCTACCCTTTGCAGCCAGCCAGGGATAAACACAGGAGGAGAAATGCCTTCTGTCCATTTTACAGGTTTCAGGTGTTGAGAAATTCACCTTGCCAACACAGTATCACTCATGGGTATACTGTCAGCTCACAAAGTCCCGTTCTTCAAAATGATTTTCCACAGTTCGTATTCAGTGGATACGATATGGCAGAATCCTCAGAACTCCATGCCTTTCCACCTCTGCTCCTCCTCACCCCAACCTGCTTGTCCTAGAGTGACAGAGCTCCTAGGATAGGCTATCCAAGCATAAAGCCTTACCATACTGCTCCAGTTTCCCTTTCGCTGTTCCCCTGGCTTAACCTCTTTCTATGCCCCCATCTTCTGTTAGCTGTGGAACAAAACCATTAGCATTCAAACACTCTCATGGAATGGAGGAAGGGGCTCATTCCAATGTTGGAGACTATAGAATCTGTGAAGAGTCAGTTTTAGGATGCTCCCCAATATGATAAAGATAATTGTTCTACATTACATTTAGCTACATTTAGTTGCATTAGTTAGGCAAGGGAGGTTGGCATGTCCTTTGTAGCACAACCTTAGGCATATTATAATCAACACATTCAGGTATTGTGGTGTGTACATAAGAAGGGACAGACCACAGAGTATAGGCCACAGATGTGGTTGTGATACATTTTAATTTTCTATCATGATGAAAAATATGATTTTCGTACTGTTGCTAAACAATATACTAGTGACTTAGGTTGCACAGTTTACATAGCTGATAGTTGTTTCACTATTCACATAACGAATATCATGCACTTTTGCCAGATATAAAATTACATATTTTCCCCCACTCTCCTGGCTCTATGTTTACATCACTGACACAGTCATACTCAGTATGAACCAAAACAGCTTTTGTTGACAGTGGCTACCATTTTCATATATAAACATTGCAGGTAATATTTACTAGGAATTATGTTTATCTTTATGCACAACTAAGTAAATTTTAAAAAATCTAAACAAAAACCCCTTATTTCTTGCCTTTTTTTGTTGAGTAGAATATTGCCTCTGCTGGTAGAAGTGGTCAGCTAATGAATAACAGCCTGCTTACTTGTGTATGAGTTACTTGCCTCCTCGTTTTTACTGTTCCTTTTCTTGCTGATTTTCCTGGCATCTTTGGATGCTTTCCAATTCATTAGGAATTGTCTTTCCATATTTTTAATTTCTTTTCCATCAAGAAATTCTAGAGAAAAACATATGTTAAAAAATACTATATGTAAATATAAATATATAGGTAAAATATATATACTTCTGATTTAGGGCAGATGAATTTAAGTTACATCATAGGTTAAAATAAATTTCTTCTTAAAATACCTTATTACACAACCTCTTTTTTTTTTTTTTTGGTGAGGAAGATTAGTCTTGAGCTAACATCTGTGCCAGTCTTTCTCTATTTTCTATGTGGGTTGCTACCACGGCATGGCTGACAAGTAGTGTAGGCCCATGCCCAGGATCCGAACCTGGGCCACCGAAGCAGTGTGTGCCAAACTTAACCACTATGCCACAGGGTCGGCCCCATAACTTCTGTATTTTTGTTGAGCTTTTATTTATTTTTAATTACTTTTTTCTGACTTCAAAAAGAATATGTTTTTATTATGAACGACTGGAACATAATGGAAAAAACATAAAAAGACTCCGTAATTATTATCCATACCTCTCCTTCCCATCACTGTCAAAGATAATCATTGTAAACAATTTGATGTATGGTCCCTTTAGGGCCATATATAAATTATATTGTTATTTTTAAAAACAAAATTTTGTCATACTCAACAAAAATTAAATATTATCTATTTATTTAAATAATATTATGATTATTCTTAGGAAAAAGCAAAATATATTTTATGTTAAAGTGAATAAGAAGTTTTATATATGTAACTTGATATTTTAAAAGCACTTACAACATAAATAATGCTTATTATATCCTAGGACATAAAATAATAGGAACAACCCACATAGCTAGCCTCTCGGTTCTGTGAAGTGAGCTTTAAGCTATCTTTACATTTTGTTCCTTTAAAAAAGTTTTGAAAATTGAGCTTCCTAAATTACGCAAATAACTTTTTGTATGTTGTAAGATATATGGAAAATCCAAAAAAAATTGGAAAAAAAACCACTTAACATTGCCTGTATTTCACAACCAGAAGTAGTCATTGAAAACCATTGATAACACTTTAGTATATTTCTTAGCTTGTTTTGTTTTCTGTGTATGTATGTGTGAATATTTATGTATATTATATAAAATTGGAATTCTCTATTTATAGAGTATTCTGCATCCTACTTTTTAATATTTTATTGTGAGCATTTTACCATGTCTTTCTTTAAATACAACTTTTTATGGCTGATATGGATAAACTATAAAATATTGAACTACTCCCTTATTATATGATATTTTATATTAACTTTTTAAGCATATGAATACTGGTGGCCTTCATTTAATAAAAAGACTATCTTTTCTAACAAAGTTTGCTGTATAGTAGTTTTTAAAATTAAATATATATTTTCTCTCATCATCCATATAATGTCTTCCTCTGGATCCCAGAATGTAGAAAGGATGTAGTAAAACTTTTTAGATCATATTCTTACAGGGAAAATGATAATATCCTGATAAAATATTAATTGTACTACTGAAAGTATAACATTGCCACTTAAATATGATCCATATTACTGTTATACCCAAAGTAAAAAATAAAGTGATGAGACTGGAAATACAAACTAGAACCATAAACTGTAGAAGTAAAATTGTGTCCATATCTTGTCTCATATACTTATTTTAACTGAGTAATAGCACTCTCCAAATTGTATTTTAAGAAATTGGCTACATGTCTTATCATCAAACATCTTAGTACTTATAACTTTACAGTAAAGGTTATTCTCTTATGCTCAGTTTTCCCAACCACTTATATTTGTTGATATCTTTCCAGATCTGTTTTATTAATAATTGTATAATTTCTTAATATATTTTTGGATATGATATGTGTAAATCAATCATATTTTAAAACATCTGTCGTAAAGATAACAAATGAAAAAATCCAAGTCTCTTACCATAATCCCTTTTTCCTTAGGTTTATGTCCCAAACAGAGCTGAGAAATGACTAGGAGACTATGCCTCAGTAAACCTGATTCCATCTTGTTTTTAGATCTTATTTGAGGTTGTTAGGTTATAGAAGTGGTTCAGGAGGGGAAGCCAGGTAAGGGATACAAGATCAGAGACCTATGAGAGTTGTTTTAATGAATTGCTGTCAACACAAAATTTGCTTCCACTCATGCTCAGTAAACCAAATGTGTGGATTTTCGTTCTATTTGGTGACTTCATTCTATTGGTTACAAGACATAGAATGGCTTCCCATAGTCCTTCTTACTGGGACAACAGTAAACCTGGCCCTCAGTTACCTCTGTGTTTTTTGGTTTTGCATTTAGGAAAAAGAAGGAAATGAGAATAAGCTAAGCTAAAATCAAAGAGAATTTGTTATATGTATGCATATTTTCTTTTTTTCTTTTCTTTTTTTTTTTTTTGAGGAAGATTAGCCCTGAGTTAAGTACTGCCAGTCCTCCTCTTTTTGCTGAGGAAGCCTGGCCCTGAGCTAACATCGTGCCCATCTTCCTCTACTTTATATGTGGGACGCCTACTACAGCATGGCATGCCAAGCAGCGCCATGTCCGTACCTGGGATCCGAACCAGTGAACCCTGGGCCGCCAAGAAGCAGAACATGTGAACTTCACCGCTGCACCACCGGGCCGGCCCCTGTATGCATATTTTCTATATGCATGGACAGAAAAAGACTGAAAGGACGTATGCTAAGGTGTTAACAGCAGATTTATGGTGGGGTTATGAATGATATTTATTTTATTTTCTATATTTTCTGCATTCTCTATAAGAAGTATGTGTTAATTTTATAATCATAAAATATGTTATAGAAAAGATTTTTTAAAAACTTTGAATAAATCCTCTTTATTTGGAAATCAGTATACTTATTTCCACGTCTTTTACAGTGTTACCTACAGTACTCTATCATGAGAAATGTTTCCAGAAATGGTTCCGTGAACATCAGAAGGTTCTTAATCGTCAAACATTAATTGTATTTACTTTGCTTCCTAAGGTAAGTAGACGAATACATTTGTGTGTGGTGGGCAGAGAGGTGAGGAGATGGAGTTGGGGCGGGTGCATAGCAGAATGATCTGTAGAGCTTTTTAAAAATATACATGACTGTTCTCCCTGTGTATTCTCTGTTCCCTACCCTTGGCTGGTGGGGTAAAATCGGGGCAGGGTGTGACCCTCACATGAGTATTTTGAAAAATCACCTTGAATTTTTCTGGTATGCCCTCTGTCCACCCCTCTCTCCTCGAAGAGAACCACTGCACTAGCATTATGATTAATCAAGGTTTACTAGAGTTATGAGCTTTGAAATGGTTTTTATACCTAAGTACAGCATGTCACAGAAGTTCTGATACAGTAAATTCTCTCACAAATCTCCTTTGTGAGAGGGCAGTGCCTGTCTCTGATGCTGTGTACCTTGGTCTCTATTGAAGTGCTTTGCTCCATTTCCCCCAGCTTAGTGCATATTCAGGAATGTTATTATTTGTAAGGTCTCAGAAAGGGACTCCCCATCCTGCTCTCCTTTCAAATTAAAGGGACTCCTATATGTTCTTAGGGTACCATTAGTGTCAAGCAATGAAAACCTTGATCAATTTTATCTACAGAACCAAGAGGTAAAGAGTCTCTCGGGATCTTCAGAGGATTTGTGCCAGTGAAAGTTTGGCAAAAGGTCACCAAATTCTATGTGTTTATGACTAACCATTTTTGTTGGTAACAGCTACATTTTCTTTTTAGAGAATTATCTGATGCCTTAATTAATTATTTTTGCACAGCAAATTTTTTCATGCTTTATTTCTGTTTTAACTTTTGCTCTTATTCAAAAATATCCAATTTGAAGTTGACCATTTTCATAGATCCAGATGTCATATTTATATGTCTGAAGGCTTGCTAATAAATTAACTAAAAAGTTAACCAAGTCTCTTTCTCTAAGAAAATTATATTAAAATAATGTAAATGTGTACCCAGTGATTTGGACACCAATATCAGTCTGTCTCTGTATTTTGGTCTGAGACAAACAGGATTTCCATTTAGATCCATTTTCCACAGCTTTATCAACTTGTTCAGTAAAAACTCCAGATCCTATAATTAGAGAAGAAAAAGCATAAGTATTTCATAATTATCAATATTTCTTTCATGTCATTTAACTGTTTTTAAAGGTAATTACTGCTTTTCATGGAGTTCTAGCTCAGTGCCAGGTACTTAGAAAGTGTACAATAAATAATTTTTGGATAAAATAGTCTATACTGGTAATAGACAGAGTTAAAGAGGCAAAAAGTGAGGTCCTGAGTTGGGGGCCACAGAACAGTTCTTTGTCACACTTCCTTAAATGGAGCCAACCTGCAGCTCAGAAAACACTTTTACCCCTCTGGCTGCTTCATGCTGCAGACGATGCCCTATTTTTAGTGAACTTTATGGAAGTTTACAGATTAAGGCAATTAAGGAGTAGTAAGTAATCAGTCCATTGGCATTGCAAGAAATATATAGTTGCTTTTTATTTTATAAAGAAGGCATATTCATTTTAGAAATCTGTGAAAAAAATCAAAGGGGAAAATAGAAGGAGAAAAAAAATCACTTGCATGCTTATCACCCAAAGATCACATTTTTAAATATGTTAATATATATCCTCCTTGTCTTCTTTTTTGAGCATAAGGATTTCTTTTTTAGTTGTCATTCGTACTGTGGGTACAATTTTGTTTTATGTATACCATAAACATTTGCATGTTTTTATAGCTTACAAGAAAATCAGCTAATTGATATTTCAAGGAATATTTAAGTTATTCCATGGTCTACAATACAAATGAATGTGAGAAAAACATAGTAATGGCGTTTAAGAACCAGCTGTCTCAGTTTTCCATCTTCATCTCCTCTTTCTCCCTATTTGGGTTTCTTTTTCCATCCGGTGTCACTATCTTTTTCTCTAATGCCTGTCTTTCTGTCATTCCTTTCCTTGCTTTTTCCCCCTCCTCATTTTTAAAATATGTATATTTTATTTCTGCTATTTAATGGAAGTGAAATATACTTTGAGTATTTATTATATATGTCTCCAAAGTTCTGTTTTTTATTTTAAAAATTAGATAAATTTAATCTGTAAAGAATTACTCAAAACAAGTAATGCAAAAACTCTTTTTCTACTCTGTAGCCTTCAATTGATTTTTAAGAATTCAATGGCTATAGGTAAGAAAGAAAGAACGGATGAGGCTGGCCCCGTGGTGTAGTGGTTAAGTTTGTGTGCTCTGCTTCGGCAGCTGGGGATTCATGGGTTCAGACCTGGGCGCAGACCTGCATACTGCTCATCAAGCCATGCTGTGGCGGTATCCTACAAATAAAATAGAGGAAGATTGGCAGCAGATGTTAGCTCAGGGCCAATCTTCCTCACCAAAAAAAAATTTTAAAAAACCCAAAGGAAAAATACCTTCAGTAGGGCAAAAGCATTCTTTTAAAGCAGATGTTTTGCTGCTAATAGTAATAAATGCTGATAACTAATTCTGTGGAGAGCTTTCTGGTTTGCAGAGCACTGCCATGTATGTGACCTTGTACATATCTAGGGGGATTGCTATTCTTTAGAATATGGGGGTGAGGATTACAAAATTAACAAAAATTCCAGAGGAGAGCAGCAGGCAAATTCCTATATTTCTTACATTTGTTTTCCTCAAGCCAAGACCAAAATTATCATAGGGTATAAGGGAAAATTAGGAAATAAGTTATAGATTAAATCATACATGTTCTTAATTGCAAAGCTGAAATCACTTGACAGTGCATTGCCTGATACTTTTATTCCCTGTATCATTTCCTCATCTTCAAAGCTTGATGCCTACCTTTCAGTCTTGTATATCTATTTAACCTATTTGTACTTTCTATCTTATTCTTTCCTCAATCCATGTTTACTGTTGCTTAGATAGTTCATTTTTCCATTTTTAGAAAATTTGTTTATAGTAAGACTGCATTTATTGCTTAGATTTCAGAAAATCATCTTTTTTACCATGAAGCTTTGACAGCAATTCCCTTCTACATATTAAAAGTCCCCACAAAACTCTGTCATATCATGGTGGTAACAAATTTGGAATATCCAGAAATTGCCTGCATCTACCTGAAGATATGCTTTCTTTGGGGAATAATTATGAGGACAGCTGGGTGTCCAGGACCTCCTGCAGAGCACCTGGAGGTCCCTTATCTTCCTGACACCAACATCTTCCTCCATAAAGTGGTAAAAGTATTTCCAGTTCTGGAAATAATATGCTAGACTCTGAGGTATCCAAATAAACAATTTTATGTGTAAAATATAAGGAATTGTTTAAAAAATATACAGGCAATTCTGAACTTCCTGGCATTGCTGCTTACTGTTTGACCTTAGGCAAGTCTGTGTTCTCGTTTATAAAGTGAGGATAACTAGGATTAGTTGCAGTGGCATATGAAGTGCCTGGAACAAAGCAGGTAAGTAATAAATGTGTTAATTTTCTGCTTCTTTGCCTGCCCTGCCACCCCTCAGCTAATTCCCTTTCTCTTAATTTTGATCAACAGAGAACAAAAATTGTTGTAAGGAAGAATAAGCTTCTGACCCACTGACAAGTAGTTGACTGCTTCGAAGAAAGCTCTCTTCAAAACTTGTAACTTCATCCTTCAGTCCTAGGCCCTGGATTATGCCCTCTCCACAGCATTTGTTCAACAGCGCTTGATGTAGCCACAATCATCTTATTTTATGTGAGTGTTTCACTGTGTTTCTCTTAGCCTAAAAAACCTCTAAGGAAGGGATTGTGCACTTCATTTTTGTACAGTGTTGAATATGATGCCCATCATCCAAAAGTTAAAGGAGAATAACAATAACTTTAAATTTATATAGAGTCCTGTAGAGTTTTGTTAATTGTTCTTCACTTGATAAATGACCCTCGACATACTCCCTCCAGTGGATGTTTACTTAAGACTAAACTAATCCTGTGCTGAAATATGATTACCCTTTGGATATGCTCTGGTTGTTCATTGCCTTCCTGTCTTTAATAAAATGCTTTCACTTTCCTGCCCTTCAATAAGTTACTAAAGGGAGCAGACACTTTTCTGGACAGTCTCTGTTTGATAAATGATCATGTCATGCTCTCACTTAGAGGAGTGCTGAAAAATACTGAAGAGCCAATTCTATTTCCCATGCAGGGGTGGTGCCTAAGCTCCTTTATGGGCCCCTGCAGCACTGGCTATGCTGTCTTTACAATTAATGGCTACTGATGAACCTGTATTTGACCATCGTGCTCCAATCTTTATCGGAAACGTCTGGCCCAACTGTCTTAGCTAAATCTAAAGACAGCCATTTGTCATCCCCCTGACTGCCTGTCATCATCTGCCTGGGAAAATCTATAATTTTTGGCTTGTTCCTGACTAAACTGTGGAGTGAATAAATTTATCTTTGGGCCACTCTGCTTGTCAGGATCAATATTGAGCAGAGGTTGAATAAATTAGAAACTGGAAAAACATGACAGCCCATAGTGGTTTGTTCGTTTGTGTCTTATAAATCAAATATTTAGTTTATATAAGAGGCAAGCATGTCAGATTTTTCATTTCCACCATTTATTCTGAAGATGCTTTACTTCATGATAAATGGTGATCAGAAAACCAATGAAGTAAATCACTAATATATCTGACTGTCAGATGAACTTTTTAGATCATTTTATTGATTTAGCAAACTTTGCAGACATAAAAACTATAAGCAAAGATTTAATTTTTTTTTGTTCTTTCACTTTTTCATACAGTTTGTAACCAAGATATTTATTTGATCAATAGTGTCAGCATGCTATATAATGTTGGCACTAGTGAAGTTCATGGCTCATCAAGCTACTTGCAGAAATGCACAAGTTTTATTGTAAATGGTCATTAAAGTATTTAATATTTATTAAATATCCCTGCATTGATGCATACCTATTTAAAGGAGTTACAGGAAAAAATGCAAAGAAATGTTAACCAAAAGTAAATATCATTTAAACTAGAGCCTTGTGAGTTAAAGAAAGGAATTTTTAAACTATGGAGTATTGTTTGGCCTGAAACCTCTCTCTTCCTCCTCAATGGTTGACTTTGCCACCAATATTATTCTGGAGAACTGGGTCATCCATCCAGAGTTTTCTCAGTTATCTGTCTTTGGTCTTACACTTCCTCCTTCTCATTTTTTTTTTTTTTTTAAAGATTTTATTTTTTCCTTTTTCTCCCCAAAGCCCCCCGGTACATAGTTGTGTATTCTTCGTTGTGGGTTCTTCTAGTTGTGGCATGTGGGACGCTGCCTCAGCGTGGTTTGATGAGCAGTGCCATGTCCGCGCCCAGGATTCGAGGAAGAATCCTACCACTTTTCCAAAATTAATCAATTCTCTCGGTCCCATGCCCTCTCCACAGCCCTCCTTCTCTTGGGATCTTCTTTCTCTTGTATTTACATTTCCAATCTCTCCCTCTCCTCTGGCTTTTATCCTGTCTCTTACCTACCATTGCTACACTTCTTGAAACACTCCAGACCAGTGCTTCTCAAATTTTTATCTGCTTAAGAATCACCAAGAGCTCTTGTTTAATTGCACGTTCTGATTTGTTAGGTTAGCTGAGATTTTGCATTTCTGATGCTGATGCTGCTGGTCCTAGGACCACATGTGGAGTTATAAGGGTCTAGGCTACTACCTCTGCTTCCTCAACCACCTGGCACTCCTGCAGCCTGGTGCTTCTGAACAGGCACTGCTAACCTTGTTACTGAGTGGTACATTGCCAATCTCAGTCTCAAATCTTTACCTTACTGACCACTCCCTTTATGGCTTTGTGATTCCACATTCTTACAGCCTCCCTGGATCCTGTATGAATCTCTGACCCCACAAGTAACAAACCTCTGACCGTAGAAATCCTCAATGTATAAACAGGCTGTTTTCTAAAAGTTGCTTTTGAGAATGGAGAACACACCTCATAAAAACACCTCAGTGCTACACCTGGTAGACTGTAGCCTGAGTCAGCTCATAAAAATAACCCACTTAATTGAGGAAAAGCCTGAAGAATATCTGTGCAGCGACAATGCTGTAAAATCTCCCTATGAAGCATCACCATGTTTCCCGAGCACTAGAGCTCCCTCTGGGGAACTGGAGCAGGTGTCCCTGTGGCAGACGGTCAGGGGTCAGTTCACTTGCTTCCTTTTCTATAATCAACATTTATTCCTTTCAGACAGTGTTTGGTTTCCTTCTCTGGACCACAGCAGGATGTAAAATCATGGCTAGAAAAACTTCTTTCTCCTGTAACCCACCACCTTCTCCATTTATATTCAGACTCTTTTCAGAAAAAGAATGGTCACATTGATGAAAATACTAAAACGTCTGTTACACCAACAAAGGGTGGGGGGGGAGTCATCTGTACGTGAGAGGAAGAACCAGATTTTGTGGGAAGCCACGTTGAGCATTTCATGATACACTCTCCTTCCATATCTAGGTGACCTCTTTCACGATGGCTGTTTCATTGACCACTTAACCAATATGCTGAAGACTCCCACATTGTTCTGACCACTGAGTTTTGGTCTCATATATCCAATTGTCTACTTGATATTTTCTCTGGAACATTTCAAAGGCACCTCGAACTCTACATGACCAAAACTCATGATCTTTTCCCTCTCCCCCAAACCTGACTCTTGAGTTCCCTGTTTTCTATTGTGCAAGGCAGAAGTCAGGGAACCATTTTTGACCTCTGCCTCTTCCACACTCCCTCTTATCTAACTCACCACTAAGTCCCGTTCACTTTATTTCCTAAACAATTCTTCAGTCTGTCTACTCACTTCATTTCCACACCAACCCTATTCAAGTTCCCACCATTTCTCACTTCTTAATTAGCCTGGCCTCTTCCAATCTGTTCTCCACACTGTAGCCATGCTGATCTTTTCAAAATGCTAGTTTATAATTACTTTACACCTAGCTCCCCATTGTTCTTAGGTGGCTCCCCATTGTTATTAGGATAAAGACAAAACTATCATGACCCATGCGGCTCATCTACCCACCAGCCTCTATTTGCACTATGCTGCACCTTCACTCTCTCTTCTTCTCATCTCTCATCTTTGCCATGCTCTCACCTGCCCCAGGGCCTTTGCACATGCCATTCTCTTTACCTGGTAAGCCCTTCTGTTTTCTTAGAGGTCAGCTCAGCAATCCCTTCCTAAGGGAACTAAGACAAATTCTCCTGTTATAGGCTCTCAGAGCCACATACTTCTCCTTTGTAGTACTTGCCACAGGAGCAGTTTTACATTTCTTTTGAGGTGATTATGTACTTAATATCTCTCTTTCTCTCACTCCCGAGAGCTCTTGGAGGCCAGGGACCCTATCTGTTTTTTGTTCTCTGTTGTCTCCCCCATTATCTAGCAAGCTCTGCCACACGGTAGGTGTTCGGAATGAATGGATAAGAAGAAATGAATGAATGCATCCATGAATGAATGGATCTGAGATTAGAAGGAGGACAGGAATTATAAAGGAGAAATTATATGGAACCGTTTTGAAAATTTGCTGATTAGCGAGGCCGCAGACATGCAAAGAAAGAGGAAAGATAGGATTTATCTTTTCTTCTACATCCTCTTCTATTCCTCCACCACCCTCACCTCCCCCTCCCCCACCCAAGTGTCTGCCCTGAACCAGCTGTGGACGAGGGAATAGAAGAAATGAAGGCAGGGTTAGAGGACCTTGGGGAAAGGAGTCCTTGGCAGCTGTGGGTATGTAGATGTGAGAGGGAAGGGAATGAAATCCTAAACAGCAGGAAGGACAGAAGCCACTTGGCTACCCAGCTTCGTCTAGGTCTGTATCCTGTGCCTCGGCCTCTAATGTAGCCACTCCCCTGTGGGTCTAGGACTCTTACTAGGCTAGGGCATCAGCATCGTTTAGGAATGTCTATATTTCCCAGTGACTCAGTTCTCTCTTTTCTTTTTCCTTTTCTTACTCCTTCCACAGAGTTCCAGGATTTCAGTTGCCATGATAGTACTTTTCCTTGTTACATGTGTTCCCTTTAATTTTTCTTAAATATCTTTCTTTCTCACTGCTCAAACCAAAATCTTGGTTGGAAGATTCAAAGTTATTTAACAATCCTAAGGGGCCATTACTTTTTCATTTTTATCTTATTTCATGTATTTTCCACAGGTGCATTTGAGGAACCAGTGGCTAGCCATATAAAAGCAGCTCCTCTAAGTGCTAAATACCTTAGGTAATTATAGTAGTTTTATTAGGATTCTCTAATGATGTCCACTTCTTTTTCCCTATGGCACAAAGCTGTCTCTTGCTGAAGACTCTTAGGATGGATGTCAGTGACCTTATGTATAGCACCTTGAGCTTTTTCTCCCGTAGCACAGGGTTTGATGTCAGCAGCTTTTGAGCAATTTCAATCAATGAGCTTAAATGTGAAAAAATTAAAGCCAAAAAAGGTGACTCTGACCCCAGGAATACATACAGAGAACCAAGTTAGTATTCTGATGCTAAACTTCAACGTGTCATTTGACTAAGCCTTCAGAGGATGATATAAATGGACCACAAAAGCACATTTCAGATGAACCCTGGGCAAGTGGGTATTCAGACATCCAAGAAGCTGTGTCTAGGCATTTTTAATTGCTTGTGTCTTCTTGCTGGAAGTAAAAGAACTTGAGATTTCATTCTCACTCCCTGGATATCTTCTCTTTATGGGAGGGAAAAGCAACTTTTGGCGTATCCCAGCCTCTAGAACTTGCTGAATGGTTTATATTCCTTCTCCAGATAGTTAAATTTTTTTTTTTTGGTCCTGTATTCATTCATTCTATAAGCATGTAGTAGGTGCCTACTATGTGCCAGGCACTGGGATGAGCTCTAAGGAATCCTGAAATCAGCAAAAATTCCTTACTCTTAAAGGTTCTCAGTCTAATGGGAGATATCGTGATATATAATAACAGAATTATATTAACCAGTTGTTCCTTACCAACCATTCACTCTTTTTTAAATTAGATTTTTAAAAATCAAAGCAATGTAATCAACACAGTTAAAAAATCAAATAAGACCATAGGGTTTATAACAAAATTTAAAGATTACCTTAGGGCTTTTAATAAAACCATTTGCAACTTCTTCAGCTATTTCTATACATACTTACCTCCACATTGCTAAATAATATTGACTTTTAAATCTTAGATATTTGTCTACTGAATTCCTACTATGGAAGATGATGATTTAATTCTCGTAAGTACTGCTCTGAACCCTTACTACACTTCCCTTCCCCCATCCTGTCAAGAGAGTCATACTAAAATTGTTAATCAGATTAATATTCATTGGCTATTTTATTAAGCTCACTTAAATATTGTGCGAAGCTAAACCACTTAATGCACTATGATTGCTTCTTATTTTAAAAATTGGTTGATTATTTATTTGCTTAGTTTTCTATGTATTTATCACAACGTTAGCCTACGGCAACTTGGGCTGGTAGATGCTTTCCTAGGACTTCCCTTCATTTCAAATTCCCTTCAAATTCA